AGGAACAATCGTCGGCGGCTCTCAAGATCTCACCTGCCCTTGCTCTATCGATCTCGTATCTTTCAAATATATTATACATCTATCATCTTGTTAACCGCTCACGACAAAAGTGGTAAGAACTGTTAAAGGCCACACTTAAGTGCAAGTACATATTACCTAAAATTTTAATTTATGTTAATTTAAAATTGTTGTTGTCTTGTCTTGTCTCGTCTTTGTGTGAGTTTATGACTGTTCCTTTCGTGTCAAAGCTACCTACTTAAATTTTGCGGTAAACGCGGACAAGCCATTTAATAAATTCCAGAAAACTCACTTTCATTATTTCGACTAAAGCTTGTATTTATTTACTATTAAACTAAAAAAACTTATTTTAATACAATACAATATTAAAATAATCATCATCATATTTGTATGATGATGATTATTTTAATATTGTATTGTCTGTTTTTTAATATAAATTTTGATTTATATTAAAAAACAGACAATGACTTAAAAGGTTCATTAAGCATTTTTTTTAATTTTACACACTTTATTTCCGGGGCAAGAGATGAAATTCAGATTTCCTACTCTACATTATTAACTGGGTACAATAATCGGCAATGTGTGTTTGCGTTATTTTGATGCGTCATCGCGACATGCGTCGCATGATAAGACGTGAACTCATCTCGAGAGATCTCATCTCGGCGTGGTCCGCATGCTGCCCACGGCGGTAACGGGACCCGATGTCGGTCACTACTATCGGTTCTATTTAATTATTCTGTTATTATAATAACACCGGCCGCTGGCACATAGTTAAAATAGTCGCCAGTATTCACGTACCACATAATAATTATTTTGATTGTTCCGGAGATAGGATTTAGCTGTCAAATCCAGTTGGGCGCCAAAGGCAGTCTACGCTAAACTCTGCAAAAAACGCAGTGAAAATTAATGACAGCTTTATTTTAGGTCAGATACAATTTGTTTATTTGGTGTCATTAGCCGTTGATGAGGCAAAAATGCATGTTCTTTATAAGTTCTAATAGTATGTGTGTATGAACGGATTTCTTGTTAAAATAAATAACGTTTTTATTAGTACATATCCCTTTTTCCTACTTCTAATTTATTCCTATCATACAAACAAAAAGTACAAAAAATTTCGCGGAGTTCTAAATAAACTCCGCTTATTACAATATGTTGTGTCCAATTCTGTTTCACGGAATAATTTTACATAACATACATTTACAACATCCAGCAAAATTATCATACTTCACCGATGTTGATTATCAGTCTAGTAATTTAATAATTACTGCTTCATAGGCAGAAAAGCTGCAGCACTGTGTCGTCAGTGCTGCAGCTACTCTATAGGTACTAGTACACTACTTCGAACGACGAACGACGAACTCTATCGAATCTCGAAAAAATTTAACTTATGTAATTTTTTACATTATTTTTTTCACTTTTTACAAAGTAATGTAACAAAATATACCTGTCGTTTTAGTTAAATCAAGAAATGAAATCTAAAAAATCCATAAGAATACAGAGTTGGCGTACTGGCTAGGTGTTTATGCGCCACAGTGGCCTCCACAGGTGTCATTGACGTATCTGGGGCAGCCCATAATCGGTGGCGAGCTTGGTCCGGTGTTATAAGCGAACTAAGCAAATCAATAAGGTCCATGTTCGTTCGCGTGCTGCAAGCCAGCCGGCGAGCTTTTCCGATTCGCTATTACTTAGTAGCGAGTGAATATGCAACGTTTTGATTTTACACATTTCCTTATTGAACCTTCGCGAGTGTTTTATTTAGATCTGCTGCTGTTACGGCAGCTTAACTTGTTTTTATAATATATTTTGTTAATTATTAGTAATTTCTTTTTTTTATTTAATATTGTAATAGTGAAACACTTTTTATCTATTTATTTATTATTATGTAGAAATAAATTATGTCTTCGTATCCAAATGTGACAAGAAAACATTATTTTATTTCCCGTTTGTTGCGAAACATATGTAAAGAACTGTAACTGTTGTTATTCAATAGCACCTTATGGTTTTAATTAGTGTTTCCCAGGTTTAACAATTAGAAAAATATTAAGTTCGGATGACGGACAGAGACGGATATAAATACGAAAGACAATTTAGCTGTACTTTTCTGATTAGGTAAGTGGAACATGAAATTGGAAGTAGGCAGGTACCTAAACAAAAATTAATCATTTTTACTTTCTAAAAAAGCAAACATATCTCCGAGAGTTAAATATTCATTCAGCCACCTTTTATGTCATTTGCGACACAGTTTCGAGTTCCGACATGACAATTTGTTGTTTCCGTGGAAAGAAAGTTGTGACTCATGCCACTATTTCTCGTAAGAATGTGTGACAGATGGTAAAAAGGAAATAAACACTGACTCATTATTGCAAAAGAAATGGTGATATTGTTGGCCCAATTATTAAAATGCGTAACTCCAAATACCTATACGGAATTTTACTTTTAAATACCTTATTTTAAGTAATCTAGAATGATGTAACGAATAAATGAAATTAAACTTCTTGACCAGTTTTACTCGAAAATTCAACGTTACAGCAGAATTCATAGCTTTTTATTCGTCCTAACCAGTTAAGCCAGATTCCGGATTCACGCAAGTATGATAAATTAGGCCGATGGTTATTCGCTATGTGCGAAGTACATGGTGGGGGTATTGTGAAACGATCGCAGCGCTTATCGTGGCAGAAATACGCAACAATCCGGGAAAGTAAAGTCAATTTGCACGGAGTTCGTAATAAATAAATTTTTTAAAAAGCCTAATAATAGATGTTGTTGTGTTGTGAACTGCAAAAATAACGGCACAAATAGTCTGTGTTTATATTTCCTACATTGGACTGGAAATTAAATCAAAGAAATAAGTGGATAGATGCCATAAAAAGAAATAAGTAAGCGAAATAACCATAAATTATGATCAATTTTATTTGCGCTATATTTTATGTGATATTCATTATTTTCTTTATTATTTTAGTGTAGATGGGTCACCATGGTATCCCAAACCTGACGACACAATTTGTAGTGAACATTTTATGGGAAAAAAAATCAGACGAGGAAGAAAATCCGAGTTATGCTCCTTCGAATATTCGCTGAAATATATCGAAAGAGGAAGGTTAATGATTCACAGGTCCTAGCTAGATATACACACTTGACAAAACGATGAACCACAAAGTCTCAGATACCACATCAAGTCAAATAATAATTAAATCAAACTCAACCTTTTATGGTCGATCAAGTATGTCAAGTCAATATGTTTTCTGAATCGAAATTAAGAGATACAATTTTTATTTGTATTAGATTAATTTACAACGATCACTGTGATGCTGAAATCCAAGCAGATATAGCAACATCAAGAATTTTAATGACAAATAATTTAAGAAATAAAGATAAAAGCTGTGGCACTGACAAAAAATCGTATGAGGATCAATCTACCGAAACAAAAAGTCAAGAATTTGTTGGTATTTCATCAATAAAAAATGATCAAGAACTCCTAGATCTTGCTGGTGTGTCATTTAGCAATTTTGAGTTTTTATTAACTATAAAAAAACTGTACAGTTTCCATTAAAGACCGACTTCTGATTTTTTTGATAACAATGAAAACTGGCTTGACATTTTCAGCATTGAGTGTGTTATTTGGTGTACACAAAACCACAATCTCACGTATATTTCATTCGATCTTACAAAATGTAGCTTGTTCAACTGCTAATTTAATCTTTTGGCGGAATAGAGCCACCGTACAAGCAACAATGCCCAAGTGTTTCAGTCCAGATTACATCAATACAAGAGTTATTATTGACTGTACTTAATTCCGAATTGAAATCCGACAGTATTTAAATTATTATACAATATATAATATTTTTTATTTATCTTTAATTTACTATAGTTACTAGAAATCAATAAAATACAAACTGATGTCATTATTTGGCATAATCCCGGAAAGTTGCGCATTGTAGGTGGCGCTACTGTCGTGCACATAGCGAATACGTTGTGTTAAGTATAATTTCTTTAGCAAGATCAACGGTATTTAATAAGTTTTTCTAGATTATAGGAATATTTCAATCTAAGTAAATTCTATTCGATTGTCGGGTTTCTTGCGTGATTATTAGTGGCAAAACAAACTATTTTTTTTTATTAATAATAAGATTATTACTGATCTTCGATTAATATTATATACACTTTGTATAAGTTAATTCCTATTTCCGGCCATGTATCTTTTGTTTAATCGTCGAGTTACACAAGCAGAGCACCCGGATGCTGCGCTGACTTCCTGAGATGCGCGTGCGCAAGTAATGGGCGGCCGCACGACAGATGTGAACGCTAGCCGCAAGTAACCGTAGACCGTTGTCCATCTGTCCACTCTGTGCGTAACCGAGAAACGCAACGCGACGAGTTTTACGACCGTTTGTGTAACAGGAAGTTTTGAATACTTTATTAGACTTATTAGCGTAACACTTTTGTTGGTTGCACGTATGTGAAATTATGTTTGAGAAAAAGGAAAAACTTTATAATGTGTGTCAATAACTTTATAATGTTAAGGTCGTCCTTTACAGCATGACCAGGTTTGAGACGCCGAGATCTTGAGACTCAAGTGGGGGGTGCCGCTAGAGCACACAAGTCTGAAGTAACAAGACTGAAGTTATAGGATAACTAGGCGGAGAATATCGACTCGCGAAGGAAATCTCCACTTCGTCGAGAGATCACTGGACCACACAAGGCCGAGGGAACAAGACCGTTAGCGACGCAAATTGTTCTGTAAGCATCTGTGTATTATCCTAGTTGTGGTTGGAGTTGTTAAATCACTATCGATCCGCATACTGATTTAGTAATTCTGTCTGACGATATACGTGCACAAATAATTTAAAAAATAAGGTGTTTCAGGATAACTTACGATACCGTGTAAGTGATGACTTTGATTTGTAGTAGAGTTACCGAAGAAGCTGGAGTAGGAAAGTTGGTCTTGTCAGGAGTGGCATTATAAATTTATGTGAGTTACTTACCACAAAAAGGTATGCCGTCTGGTGTCCACCTACTGCTAGGTCCACAGACCCTCCTGGAAGGCCCCAGAAGCTCGAAGCCCGGCTCGCAACTGTACGTGACCACTGTGCCTTCGCGTAAGTCCTCCTCGGAGAACGACACTTTGCAGTGAGCCGGCGCACCGGGGAAACCGCACGTTGCTGATGCATAACCTGCGAAAGAAAAGGAGATCATATGAAAAACCAATACAAAAAAAATGTGCACGGAACACACACTGAAACGAAACTTCTTTTCTTAAATAACCTAACATTAGGCGATGCATAAGACGCTACCTACGAGCGTCGCGTGTGATGCTCGCGACGCTCGTAGGTAGCGTTTCAGCCTTCGCCGAGTTACCCTCCAACTTTCATGGTCGTCGGGAAGAGCTAAGCACGCTTCCCACACACACACCCCTATATATATATATATATATATATATATATGTATATTCGTGTGGCGCTCGTGACGCATTTCCGTTTCATCGTTTCCATAGGAATTTTCCATTAACACCCCGTCCGAAAAGAAGTTTCTCTTCATAAATCGGAAAATAATGTAATTCAATGTGATTATTTTCTGCTGCTACATTGAAACTACTCGAGCTCGAAACTATTCGAGCGAAATAAGTCCAAACATTCACGTTTTAAATAATCTCGAAAGGAGATTGCTCAAATTGGCCCAAATACACAAAAAATATTGACATGACACGGTAATTCTTGGCGTAATTTATAATTTAGTTTACAGTCATTAGATTTCAACGGACACCTTTGTATAATATATTTACTTTAAAAAAACTTTTAATTTTACCGGTTTGGAAAACATACGAATTTTTTTATTACAATGTGGTATTAATATCCACAACTATATTATCATTTTCACTAGATGCAAATGTGCTCAGACAATTATTATAGATGGTAGGCGACATCATAAAGTATAATGCCATACATTTTTCGCCAAACACCTCCATAAACACATTATAATCTGTATATATGTTAGACTTTAAGGTCTATCTATAGGCCTGACTATAAATTAATAAATAAATAAAATTATAAGGTGTGATACACTAAAAATCTAAAATATGGTTATCTTAAAAACATAACCAAAAATAATGAAGCTACGGAATATATGACTATAGAATCTAAATCTCTTAGCTTTCTTTGGTTAACGAGAGTTTAAAAATTCTCTATAATCTGTGGCTCATTCACAATCATCACACAGTTTCTGTCACAGAGTAGCTTATTTTAACCGGAAATGATACCTGATTTTAAAAGTTACTTTTATGCATTAACTGTAAAAACAGGCAACTATCTAATAATCTTCATGCTCTATATACCTGAATCTAATCCATAATTTCGGTACTTGGCTTGATTTCCCTAGTTTACTATATAACTTATTTGTTTTTTATTATTTTAATATGTTCAGTGTATATGGTTTATAGAAGTTCTCAGGGGTGTCCGTCAATAATATTCGTTTCTACAGTAATTTATATATAATTTCGAATCTAGGAAACAATTTTTCATGATTATTGGTCTTTAGGCCAAACATGTATGAAAGCTGAGCAATCTCCTTTCAATGCCTGTTCAAAAGTGCTTTGTGAACAGACAGCGGAGCCATATTTAATGGCGTTCCATATAACGCCTTTTGCGTAAGAAAACCTAAAAAATGGAATCCATCCAAAAAACAATTTCCTAAGAAAATGTTAGTAACCTATCTGATAGGCAAGAAGTCAATGCAAGAATGGTAATGGCGTATTTAAAACAGTCGATTTATTGATCGATAGTGGTCTCACGGTTAGCCGCTTGCCAAATCGCCTTAATGCTTTAATTTAAAGTTAAGTCGCCTACAGCCAGGTCGAATACCTCTTTTAGAATCACGAAGCAAATAATTTAATTCTTTAAAATTGTGTCATCCCCTCCTTTCATATTATAAAGCAATCATAATAAGAGAGGCTTCGAGAAATTGTCTGTGTCTACCCAGGTCTTCTTTAGAGGCACATATGTTTAAAACTTACCATAGATCAGACCAATCATTCATTTATGAAACTTACATATAGAATAGATGTAATAAATCTCACGAAAATCCACAATCCTTGCTTGAAAACTAAATGGAATAAGATTAGATCTTATTCCATTTAGTTTTCAGTGTAAATGAAAATAAAGTGAGTTTTAACCTAGGGTCTAGTGAGCGAACGAAATGCTGAACAAGATTTTCCACACTCTTTACAAACACTTACAATCTTCTGAAATTGTTATAATATGGTTTTAATACAGATTTTTATACAGTCATTGAAATATTACAACATACGGTTCGGTTTTTGGATGTAGCAGACATTTTAAAACTGTACTCTTTAACTAATTTTAGACAGTAAATAATCAAAGTTTTAGAGCTATGATTAGTTGACATCTTCGATTGCAGCACGTCGGAAGCACCAAGTTTTGCTCAACATGTTTGCGATCATAGAGCAACACAGCCGACGCGGCCAGGAGGGGAGTAGCCATCATGACATAATACTACTGAAATTATTCTGCGGTTTTATACGGGGGGTTATATATATGCACACAAATGCAGTCTAAGGCAGCAAAAACGAAATTGTAATTACAATATGTGTGAGTGACATAAAAAAAAACAGCGCTAGATCGGACATAGATGAAACTTAAGATGTTTTATTGGCAGATCTGAAATTTGTACTACCGAGTCGATTGTTTTATCAAATAAGTCCGATGAGTGAACTTTAACAAAATAATATGAATTTTGTGTTTAAAAGTCGTTGAATAAAAATTATATGTTAATAATTCAACTTATATGTGAAATTTAACACCATCCTTTTGCAAGTTTAATGTTACATTTTTTTTACAGCAAATTACATTACATTTTGGCATTTTTGATCTCTAACATACACTCGCGCGACTTGACTCAGTCTAATGAAATATCCGAGCGCAACTTAATTTTGTTTTGAAGCCGACCCAAAAGCGGGGAAAAATCGCCAGAAGGGAACGCAGTGAATGCCGACTCCCCTCCTGGCCGCGTCGCCCGCGTAGCTCTATGTTTACGATAGATTTGGATTAAATAAAAATTGCTCGGAGCATTTAGAAAAAAGAGCTGTATTCTCTCAATCGTTTCTCAATACTCAATCTATAGACCATAGCAAAATTATGAATCTATGCTTTGGTCATGACGTAAGAAAGTGTACTCTAATTTCTTTGCAATAAATATTTAGCATAGTTTAATTATAATAAAATTACCCCTGAAAAAGGAAGTTTTTAATAAATAACTATCTTGCCCTTACATAATTACGAACGAAACGTCGATAGTGTCAATAATTTGACGGCATCAAATTGGATGTTGCTTTATTGTTTACATTATTTAAATTGACTAAATTAAACTGTAATCGTGATAACAATATTATGTAGGCACCTCATCTAAGTTTATTGATTAATGAATTCAAATGCCTGGCTTGTTGAGGCAGCTGGACCACTTCGACAAAAAAAAGCTTCAGGTATGGACAGCGAGGAGTTAATGTTTTTGATCGCATAAAAAAGATTTCAATTCCATCTTAGTGCAGCCTTTAGAACTTTACATTCACCAAATTTTATCTATATAAGTAGATTATGGGATTAAAAGATATTTTAAAGTATTGTAATCATAGTTAAATGTCTTTAATCGTAAACAATATGTCGCACTGGACGAAGGCTAATAATCAGGGCTTCGTCTGTAATTTGGTAATCACTGCACCGAGCCTAAGTCGTATTCTAACTGCTACACAAAGGTACATATATGGTTGTGTGCCTTTTTTTAGATTTTTTATAATTTTGATGTAATTGCGCTATGGCAACTACCATTATCGATCCATATCCACCATAGCACCATCATAGTTAGAAGCTTGGGATACTGTGTATCACTCACGAGTTGCCTGCCTTCCCCGTGGAACCCTATAATAGAAACCTTACCCATTTCTGAAATTCGAGCAAAATTCTGCAAGCAATGCCCTACCTACTTTCGCTTGCAAACATTGTTTATATACAACGAACGAATCAACGAATTACTACACAAGATGACTGACCAATTCAGCTGTGTCTTTCCTTTATATATGTAAAGCAAGAGCCCTACTGAATATAGAAATATATATATATATATTTCTATATATATATCATGATTTTTTTCTCGAATTTGCTATCTTCGCATTCTGGCACCACAACATATGACACTTAACATTATAATGTGAAAGAGACATTAGAGAAGCTACATGTGTCTTTTTGCGCAACCTTATGATCTTTCTGATGTAATCTAATCTATCACTAAAGTAGAGCAGACCTCGATCCATAACATGCATTTTAATAGTGTGCAACTTACTCGTCACTAATGCTAATAGAACATTAAATCGTTTAAGGTCGCAGTAACTCGGTGATGCCAATCTTATACATTCCGCCTAATTGCTTAAAAACTTACTGTAACGGACCCGTACTGTATCAAACAAAAACAATGTTAAATGGTTCGATCGACAATTCTATAGATAACGGGTCAGCGCGTAAAATCCGTCTCGGTAAATATAGCCTCACCTGAGGCGTAAGATCTTATTTTAAATTAGTTCTGTTAATACAAAACGAAGTAACTCGCGGGCCAAAGACTGGTAAAAATATTTTATGTTGTAGGTCATAAGGTTCATTTCACATTTTCCTTTTTTCACCTTTATCGATTTTTCCAAGTTTCAGATATAATGTATAAAAGGAAGAAGATAAAGGGTCGTATGTGCTAAATAACATTTTGTTATAAATTTGTAACCTTATTCCTTTATGAGATAGTTGTTATTAGTTTCAACTTAAACTGTTTTAAACATTTATCTTTTCTCAATGGGAATCGAATATAGCTGCATAAGTTTTAACATACGCGGACAGTTTTAAGCTTTGATTTTGTATGCAAGCCGTTATCTATAGAATTGTTGATCGAAGGTTAATTGGCATTGGTACCAATTTAAAATAAGTTATTAGGTATATTCGATCTTTGTACGTAAACTCTCAAACATTTAGCAGTAGCCATTCCTATTATATTTCAATGTATACAAAGCACAAAGGATAATTATTAAGTATGTACTCCATTCCATGCACTGGTTGTTTTTATGACAGGCAGCGCTGTTGATGTCGGTAACTGGCGCTACAAACAAAGGCATTCAACTCTTTGA